CAGAGGTATCAATCAATACACAATAACAACTCCAACTGTCAGGGACTATGCAATGAAATAAAAAATTTAGTCTCCTTTTCCCCCCAAAGTCTCATTAATGACAAATTACAAAACATTGTTTTATACAAAACATAAGAAAAATCCATGACTGAAATTGTCATCGGTTCTATCAACTTAGCAACATTGTATTTGACTTGAAATAACACTAGAAATTCAAAGCTTATCAGAACCACTGGTTCATCATCAAAAAGTTACTGCAAACAAATGCATGTATTTAATTTCTTAAGGATAATACCCCTCCCCCCCCCCCCCCCCCCCCCAATTTCTTTGAGTGCTTACTTGTGGAAGGAGGATGGAAACCATGGCAGTTTCACACTACTGGCCTCTATTAAAGAGACAGCATACAGGGGTAGGGTATTCCCACGAAAGGGATGTGTCATTGGACCTAAACCACAGCTAAGCATCATAATCTTGTGAAATGAAATCTACTTTGCGCTAGTAACTACTAACAGCAAAGCACTGATTTGTCTGTCTGTCTAGAAGACAGTGATTTAGCAAATCATCTACTTTATATGAATAAACACTTTAGTCCTCTTTACACTGGTCATTGAAAGCAGAGAACTCATCAAGAAGGATTTAATTCAATGAGAATATCCTAAAAGAGTTCAAAGAAATTGAATTCTAGATAACATCTTGCCTCAGGCTGGTACCTTCTATTTCTTCACAGTTATTTTCACCACCCTCTTCTATAGGGCATAAAAACATGCATGATTCATATTGCTTTTATTTTTGAGAAATTACTTTACACTGTATGTTGCTTTCTCCTAAATGTCTTCTGAGCATTTCTGAGCACGCTATGTAGATGGACTCAAAACCACCTAAAACATTCAGTGTCAAAAGGGAAAGCAAAGATAACAGCTGTAAATCTAACACATGTAAATCATGTATTAGAATGCTGCACATCAGTACTGCTTGGAGCACTCTGAAAAGTACAGGGTGTTTTTGAAATTGCAAATGCAAGAGTTTAAGACCAGAAGATGTAAATGAGGCCAATACACTGCCAGTTTTGTTGGCTCCACTGTAGTTCAACATCAGTGTTAAATCTCACAGTACATCATTATAAGGCTTTTGACCAAATAACATTGCAGAAAAGTAAGATACTAGTGTAGAACAGCAAAATCACAGCCAATGTTGCAATGCCACCACGTAACAGTATGTTCCAATAACAGTTTTTAAATAAAATCACCTCTTTAAGTGATGCACCTTTTTTTTTTGATTCTGCATTTTTTACATTTATACGTAATTGCAGCTGGTTTCAGTAGACTAATAACAGTGGTAAATACAAGTAAAATGAAGAAAGTAAAACTATTAATAATTTATGCTCACAAAATTCTTTTACACTGGCAAACCTGAGCAAGCAGTAACTAATTTAGCCTCACAATACCCCTGTGAGGTAGGTAATTGCTGTAAGCCCCATTTTACAGGTGGGGAAACTCAGGCACATACAAGTTAAGTAACTTGCCCAAAGTCTGGGTACAAAATCCAGGTACCCCGCAGCCATCTTCTGTTTCTTAGACATCAAATCACCCTTCTTCACTAATAAATTTAACTGGAATATGTACAAATACTGCATGTGTGTGCATGCATGTGTAACTAGCATTTGTGCATAGAAACAATTCCGTGTTTCTGTATAGTGTGTATCAGGATTTTAGATACATATGAAGGATTATTAACATTTGCTAAGATGCCATGGATTCAGTTCAAGAGATTTGAAACCTAGCGCTAGTGAGACTTTTAATTTAAAGATAAACCAAGACACCATGAGTGGGAAAATGGTAATGGTATTTTCTCAGCTTTAAAATAATGCATTTTAAAGTAATTCTTGCCAGAAAATCAAAGGCTTCCTTTATTATCTGCTGGGTATTGTTAACACAGTTATGGCAATACCAACATCTCTTTAGAAAACAGTGGTTTTAAGACATGACAAACCAACCTCACAGGAGTGCTGCATGAATCAAATTAATAAGCATCAAAAAACATTATTACAGGCACTATATTGTGCTAAGTGTTAGAGTACCAAGCAGCTAAATATTCAGCCATGTTCCAAAAGACTCCTATTACCAGAGACACAAATCACCCTGTATTAGATGTAGAAAAGTACCTGTTAAAGCATAAATTAGATGTGTGACCTAGGTCCAGCAGTGTCCTTTGCTAGTGAGACAGAGTGGGAGAACAACTCCAAGCTAGAACTTCCATCCCTTGTCCATGAGGCTAATCTGCCACTCACCTGCCCTATACTAATAACCCACTTCAGATTTATTTCACAGGAACAAACTAGCTGTTTGCAATATGATTTTATTCTCTTTTCCAGCTCATTTCCACTAGAAAAAGCATAAGGATCTGGTGAGGAGGGAAAGCCTCTGGTGCAATAGTCCCAAGAGTTTCCAATGCACAGCACATTTTGAATTTTCATTTCTTTTCTGGAAACTCAGGTCCATGTAACACCCTGGATTTCCTCAGAGTCTGGCACACAACAGTCAGCTGGAGCACTGCTTCTCCATAAGTCAGTTTGCATGGCGCTCTACAACTAAATAGGCAGAAAGTTTAGAAACTATTTTCCTGAGCAGTTTGCAAGCGCTTTTCTGAATCTTCACTTAAACTTTTCCAGTAGTTCCTTACAGTAAATTTATAATCTATATTTTCTTGTGCTTTACACATATATCCTGTGGGGTTTGTGGGAGCCTACAGTACTACATTGATTTATTACATCCCAGTCCGTTGCATTTGATGACAATATGCTCTAGGATACTCCCAATTACATAGAAGAATGTCTCCAATGCATAAGATAATTTTGGGACAGTTCTTTTCTGGTTTACCAGCATTTTGTTATTTTCTGTTTGTTTATTCAGAAAGATGTAGTTACCTATCTGTATCTTCCTTAAGTGAGATGGTGCGTGAGCCTGTCACTAGCATCAGTATGACATTCAGTAAGTTAAGAGCTATTTATTCTCTACTGAAGGCAAAAAGTGAAGAGATTATATAGGTTTCTGAGAGTAACATCCTAATCCCAGATATCTGTGACACATAGGACACCAGATGTTTAAACTCATCACACCACAGTCTGTTTCCAACACGGCTGTATAAACCATAGAGAAAAAAAAAAAGCAGGGTGTGGATTCACTGCATTGCCATTCCCTAGGGATGCAGAGGTTTGTATTGGGAAAGTCTGGTCCAACACAAAATTCGGATTAGGAAACTCTGACCTGACATACGAGCTTTTCTGTAGGAAGTTCCTTCGGAAGCCCCACTGCCTTCCCTGCAGAAATCAGGGCCAGCAGTGGTATGGACTGAGCGACACCCCGTGGTGATGGAAAGGAAATACGAATCCCTAAATCAGCCTATCCTCCCCATGTCCTTCCGGATTGTCGAACCAACCCAAGTGGAAAAGATCAAGGCAGAGTTTGCCCACCCCTGCCTGCAAGGGCAAACAGCCAAGGAAAACCCCACAGAAGGATGCGGGTGGTGCCATCGTCCTAGGGGATGCTCGCTCAGGAGACAAGAAGAGAGCAACTGAAGTGACTGTCCGCAAGTGAAGGCACCTGGTCTGGAAATAGCATCAAGCTGGTGTTTTTCTTTCACACAGGGTGGGACTGAGAGAGAGATACTGGTGCTGATGGTTTGTCATGACTTGCTACACTTACAAGAGCATTATCCTACATTATAAGTAACACTTTACTTCCTCTAATCCACAGAAGGGCCTAACCCTAAATTCATTAGATTGTCTGACACATTTAAGTTAAGAGCTTGTATCAACTAGGAGTGCGTTTTTTTCCTCACTCAGCTCTCTCCCAGCACAGAAACACTTGGCCTCCTAAAAAAACATCATTGTGATCAACCAACCACCTGTTCTGGTCTAGTCACTTGTATAAAAGTCACCTTTTTAGGCTGAAAAGTCTCAACCCTTCAGCTGAATACCTCAAAAACATAATTAGAACGTTACAGTCAATCCTTCTAAAAATAACCATAAAGAACTAAAGCATAAACAGAAAAGAAACAAGGTGGCATTGAAGGTGCCTAGGGCTATAAATTTGCTACCACATTTTGAGTTTCAATTGTAATGAGTTCCCAGGCCATAGAGTGAACTACAAGACGTATTATCCTTCTCCCTCGGTAACCGATGATGGGCTTTTTTTTTTCCATGGGACTGATAAGAAACCTCCTCTCCACCAGCATTTACAGCCATATTTGCAATTTTGTGACATCACCAGGGAAAAATAAAACGATACAGAGAAGAGTCTTTTGATTTTTGTGTTCAGCTGTAAATATCAGCTAACCAGGTAACTGTGCATCTCTCGGGTGTTGATGCTCAAAACCACGCCTGAGTGATTGCCTACAAAAATACAGAAACAAAAGGCCAGCGTTAGTGTATTTCAGGCACTTCACATTAAATCCCTCTTTTATTGCAGGGACAAGTCAATTGCATGAAGAGAGTGGCTTTATCAAACAACAGGTTGGTGCAACAGCTCCATGTACCTACAGCATACTTTCACGCAAAGCTTTTGCTCATGGTGGTGTGTTTGTGGTGAATTCCTAGGGTTTCTATCCCAGTAACTGCATAAGTTGGTTCTCTTTGTGGCTTAAAAAAGTGTAGTTGTCTCGAGGGGTGCAGGTGAGGGAGGAGAATGGAACCTGAGGCGTCCATTCGACATGCCACTGACCTGGGACTGGACACTGACCGGCATCAGCAATAAGGGAACTCTGTAGCTGTTCAAGTTGCCACTTCTCCCAGAAGGAGTCACTGCAAGGTAATGGTGTTGAGGAGTCCCAAGGTGGGGGTTGCGATAAAGTAGGCAACATAAAATATATAGAAAACAAAAAAAGTGGATGGGTGAGTCTGGGAATACTGTACTGTGGAAATTCAAAAGTTATGAAAAGAGAACAAACAGAAACCCAGGCCTGCAACTCCCTTCTGTGCATGGAGCGGAGGCTGCTACTGACATCTCCCAATAGGGAGGGAGAAAGCTCACCACAACTAGAAGGGATCTCCATAATACAGGAACCTTCTGCAAATAATGTCATAAACCAGGATTTAATAAAGCAGAGATTACAACATGTTTTATTCTCTGGCCAGATAAAATAGAAAAGTATCATTAACAGGAATATTTTCTTGGCAGTACTGAGCAAAACTGAAGCTAGTGGAAAATATTGCAACTAGCAAAGCAGCACAGCAAGCAGAAGGACAGTTTTATGTATTAAATAAAGTCTTGTGTCTAAAAGCTGTACGGTAGCTGACAATACATGGATGATTATCATCCATAGAAATGAGCTCTTTACATTCTATTGGAAATGCTGCTGGTGCTGACAACCTGGCAGAAGCACAAATAACCTTGAGAACTGTAGTAAGTTTCCCAGCAAAACATCAAGATCTCGCACCCTTTAACCCTAATAATGCTCTGCCCAGACAGAAGATTTTCTTTCTCTCTCTCTGAGTAAGGTGTGCAGGGCAAACAGAGATTATTTCTGAATGCATTACAAACCAGGACAGCATTTCTTTATTCCAGCATCCCAAGCTGCCCTATACAACTAGGCCATAAGGGATTTTCTACCATCAAAAGTAGTTATGCTTCTATACATTACTAGATGTGTTTCAATGCTCCATTTTAACAGGCATGTCTGCAAGGAAATTTTTAGCATTCAACCTTCTCCTTTAAAGACCTTGGAGATGAGTTGATCAAACAATTTTAACATAGACTTTGCTTTTCCAGGTTTGCTTTTGGAACTAACTCCAGTAAAGACAGGAGTGCAATCAAGGTCGTCTTGCAAAATCTGAATGAAAAAATAGTGATACTCATACACAAAGGTTGTCAAAGAAAAGATATAAATACACAAAGCAAAGAAAGAGGCTGGATTCTTTCCACGTGCTCAAAGCTAACACCTCCAAGAACCTAGAAGCAGCGCAGAGTTCAGCAAATGAAAATAAAGATATTGACAAGAAATATAAACAAGAAACGCAAGATAAAGAAATCTCTTTTCTGTCAAAATTCTGTCCTTCCCCAGGCTACCTCTGGTGCAGCTAAACTGCATCTTTTTCCATGGGTTCATGGAGACATCACAGTTGCTTGTTACACCGTCAATCTACTGCTACAAATCCCAAAGGCTTTGGGTTATCTGATTTATTTTCACAAAATGTGTAGAAATGGAACTGAGGAGTTTTTTCCATTGTCCTACACTTTTCAGACTGTGACCTGAAAGCAATCTAAACACAATGGAAAATTTTACAAGAAATGAACTTTATAGATCAGCACTCCATGTTACATTAAAAATAACCATAGGGTGCCAGGATATATACTTCCATCTGACACTGGAGTAATTCTCACTGAGAGATATTCACAGAAAGTACCCCTCATGGGTTCCTTATGACCACCCCATAAACACTGGAAAGTTACTTAAATTAGCTACATAGGGAAGACTTACGATACTTTTTATACAGGAATAAATGTAATGATTCAAATAATGAAAACTTTAAATGCCACTTTAGTACAATGGCAAATAAAGCAACAGATCTAGATTCAATCCATTTGAAATAATGGAAACCTTGACTCTAGAAATCCTTCTAGCCTAGATTACATTTTCCACTAATTCAGGGGATTATTGTTACCTATTATATACTGTTCTACCAAATATAATTTCTCTCTAAAAATGTCTGTCTCCTAACATGAAAATGCATTATATGTGTAATCATCCTGTATATAGCATGTCATCCATACATAGGTCTGTATCACAAGCAAGCCGAAAGAAGATAACTCCGATAATCCTTTGTTAGTGGTGTACTATTTGCTTCTTCCTGAGACTGAGCAGAAAATGAAAAAAAAGCTAAAATGAAAACAAATATCAATTAAAAATCAATTACTTATGAAAATTTATAAACTAAAAATGAAGTTACCTCTTGCGTTACCTAGTGTTTGCGAGTCCAGATCATCATCAATAAACTCCTCACCCTGGATGATGTTCTGGGTGTCCTCACTATGATTAACAGGGCTTGTCATTTCCTGTTCTTTTTCATTGTGCATCTGGGCATAGACATTTCTGCCTGGCAGTTTCCTATATCAGACAAGGAGAAAAAGTCTTGAGATGCAGTTCCCTTGTGTTGCGCACATGCTGGTATCAGAGCAGAGCTTCAGCAGACCAAAGGTGTTCCAGAGTCACAAACTAGCACTAATCCCACCCTCCCTTAGTTTTGTGCTCACAACCTAAATTTACCAACTCCTTATTCTCAGTCAGTTTTAACCGTCTTATCACAATGTTCGTACCAACATAATAATTTAGCATCAATTTCTGACTAACAAAGAACAATAATCTAAAAAAGTTACTAAAACCACAGAGAAACTATTTTAAGAACTCAAGCAATAAAAATACAAAACAGGTATTCATTCCTGTTTCCAGGTGTCTTTGCAAACATCAAGCTAGGTCACAATCATCACCACATCCCCCAGGTGAGGTGGGTTGATGCTGAAGTGTGAACATGTTGAATAGCATTCTCATGCTCCATCAAGGCTGAGGAGAGGAAGCAGGAGAAATCCAGGAGGCAGGGAATAGAAAGGAAGCAGAGAGTGAAGAACCAGGAGGCCAGGACCAAGGGGTAAGGAGGCAAACCGGCATCGGTCAGGGCACATAAGAAGACGGGAGAGGGTAAAGAAGTTAAGCAGGCAGCACTGAAGGAGGCAGAGTGTAAAGCTTGGCCCAGGACTACTAGAAACTGATGAATTAGACAAAACTCTGTATAGCAGTCAGCATTTAATTAATTCGTTCATTCTGATTTGAATCTAGAAAACCAGAAAGCATGTGATTAAATGGTTCTATCAGCTCTAATGAACAATTAGCACTATGTCTGAGATTGGGAGCATTAAGTCTTAGTATTGATAAAGACTTCTTAACTAGATTAATTTAATAAATTAGACTTTGTAAAATCAAACAAAATAATCAGGGACTTCTAACTGTGCAACAGAATTTATGGTTTAAACATTTATTGAGAGCCATACCCTTTGCTGTAGCTGCATTCATGTGTGGTCTGCCTGAGCACATAAGGACATCCTCTCCTAGGCACCAAGCAGACACTTCTGATTAGGGAGTTGCAGGCTGTACACTGCAAGAAGCAGCTCGACAGCCTGATCAGCATGACAGCAGATCATGGCTGTCAAAGTCTGTGCTTAAACACAGATTATTGCAAGGGGCAGACAATGAGAAGAAAACAGAAAACATGGTTGAATTGCTGAGGTTAAGCTGTGGTTTCTGCTGAGCTCCTTTACACAGTGAGAAAATAGAAAAACTGACACTAATTTGTAGGCATGTCTCTAAAAACAACCATCTCCTGCTCCATATTCTGGCAGCAGTTTGAAAGCTGGATAAATACACAGGTTGCTCTGTTTTCTCAAGGCTTTTGAAGATGACCTGTCTTTAAATGTCATTTCAGAAGAAAGGTTCTTTCCCAGGTGGCACCATTTTAGTTTGAGATAGAAGTTACTGCAGCATACTAGTTTGAGCAGCATCTTCCATTGCATCAGAATACTTAGAATAAATCAAAATTGCTAAGAAATGAAAGACAACTGAAATAGATCTCCTGCCTTTATTCTGAACTATCCAAGGGATTAATTGCATACTGCATACCTATATGTGTACACACACAGAGATGTATATAGGTATGTGTATACAAACACACACAAAATTGTATTTATATATATTTCTGCACCTCTGTGAGCTGAGAGTAAATAAAGTACTAACCAAATACAAAGGAGAAGGATGCAAACAAGGTCTAACATGACAACACTGTGCTATTATGACCACTTCAAGAGTTTCCTCGAACACAAACATACAAAAGCCAGGACCTGCATCACTCTCCCCCTACTAATTGGATGAAAAAAGCCACGATGAAAAGGGGAAGGACTTCCCTTGTTACCAAAACAAATACATTAGGTAATTAATTTTGATTTTTTTTCTCTAGGGCCAGTAACTCCAGACTGTTTTAATGTGTTTGCTAATGAAACTGGTCATGTGGAAAACAATATCCCTATCAATCAGACCTGCATCAAACCTGTCAAATTGCTCGCTTTCAGTCCACCGCTGAATGCCTAAGGGAAATAAAACCCAGAAGAACGTCTTTGCAACACATCTGCAGAATTAGCACATATGTTTCTGCAGTAATTAGGGAACCTTCTCAAAACTTCTGACAGACTGTAGAAGCATCAGTAGCATCATCAAAATATTTTTGACACAATAAATATGTTATCCATCTTGAACCCATATGGTGCATCAGACCTCTGCAGCTAAGCAAAGGGAACAGAGCTGCTAGTCTAACTGTTGTCCGTCCAGCCTGAAAAGCCTGTCGGAAACCAGCTCAACAAGGTGTGTCCTTTAAATCTTGAGGCTTTAACTCATGTGTCTGGTAAGACTTACTAGTTAGAAACCGCACAGTCACAACACATACTATTAAACACATTAAGGGGTTCCTAAAGGAAGAAATCTCACAAGTTCACAAATCACCATTGAACATATTGTTTTTAAGAGCACTTCTGTATGAGTTATGGGTAAAAGGAGAAGAGGCATAAGCTCTTATTTCTCACTCACCTAAACTTTGTGAGCCCAATCCTGCTAAGTATAGATCCTCCAAGGAAGGCAATAAAGTTCAGATAATCAGTGACTCTCCCACACTTTTCTTTGTTCCTCACAGATACAGAGGAAAGCATCTTAGATTGTAACCCAGAGCATGAATGGAAAGAAGGAGAGAATCATAGGTCTTGTAAAGGTCTTGTGCTTATGCTGGAGGCATTTGACCTTTTACACACCATAGAGATCTCTACGTGTTTCATATGGTTCAGTTTTACATGCAAGAGACTCAACCAGATTGAAGAAAATGATAGTCCAAGCTTTTTCAAGAGGTGTTTTAAACACATGTGCCAGATGTTCTGCTTATAAGGGACAACATCACTGTGGAATGAATCAGGATGTGGGTACCGAATCCTTGCTAAAGATGGGCCTGCCTCTGGAAATTTTTCAGTTGCCTCTCACTGCTCTAATATGTAGGAAAGAAGCTGCTACCTCTAATTACACAGAGAGAAACTCTTGTGTACCCTCTTGTGCACCTGATGTGCATTCTCTTCTTAAGGAAGCAGTGTAACTCTTTGAAGTAGGCGGAGCTGAAATGCTTGGATCTACATAAAAGACCACTGTGAAAACATGACAAGACATGAAATCTGACCCAAGAGAGTTATATCACCAATATGAAAATTGAAAGCACATTTATAAGTACAGAGAAAAGATTATGCAATAGATTCTTTTGGGGGTTTACTCTTCGGCTGCAAAATGCATGTGCTTCACATCCATCACTGGAGGCAATTACCTCTGCTGAGCAGCACTCTATGGTTTACATTTTTAGATCCTTTTGTTTTCTCTGTAGCATTTTATTTCAATCATGAAGAAGAAGAAATATTCATGCCTGCTCTGAGGACCATAAAAATATGTACTGGAGACCTAATTCTGCACAGATTTATATTGAACATCACAGCACATGGCTTTCACCAAGCTCTTCCTGTCTTACACCTGTTAGAAGACATTCCAGAAAGTTCTTTTTCTTTTCTTCCTGATATTCACAAATTCTAATCAGTTCATTCCTGAAACTATTTGCACTTAAAAATGTTCAGCAGTAAGGAACAGCAGGAGGGGGATGAGATATTGATTCCTACTCGTTTGAACTCTCTAGTTTATTTGGCTTTCAGTTCCTTCCTTGTGGAGTCAGTATTCACAGGCCTTTATGCAACTTCATTCATTTTGCAGAGGCTTGATTAAGATTCTTCTTAGTATAAAAAAAACCAAAAGGAACATATTCACATGGCAAAGGACACGGGAAGATGTAGCATTTTCTTGGAATTTAAATAAAACTAACAATAATAATCTATTAAATAGAATATTGTGGTGCTGGCTTTATTATGCTTGGATTAATGTTCAGATGACTTACTTTGTGCTTTAAGGCACTTTTGTTTTACTTGCCTCTTTCATTTCAGAAATCTTTTCTGCATGCTATTACTTTGATTTTTGAGGAAGTTTTTATGAAATATTATGGATCATTAAATTACTGCCTGGTTTTTTGTAACTAAATGACATGGACTGCGACTAAACTTGCTCTCATGGAATATAAAAGTAGCATAAGCAAGGTGGGTAAAAAGATAGCTTTTCAGAGACTGAAAACGAGACAGTAAATCAATGAGGCAGAAAGATAACACAGTTCTGCTCCGGATTGTGGAAATGACCAGGGAAGGGGTTCATTTACCAAAAGTGGCACTTGACAGCAGTGGGGGAAAAAAGAATACACACAGAACGGTATAAATCTGGTGGAAGTAGATTCATGGCGATTTGTGAAAACAATGCATGCAGCTTGAAGTACACTGTCAGTAGTCTGCATACAAATTAAAAGTTGGAGATTTTCATACTCTTTCAGAGAACCAAATTTGCTACCATTAACCAGGTAAAATACCTAAGCAGAAAAACCAACTATTTGTTCTGGTTTGGCTACCCTAATATCCTGTTGTTATATAGATGTAAAAAATAAGAAAAGGATTTCAGATCCATGATGATTACATGGGAGCTTTGATGTGGCTAAAATGAATTTTTCCTTCCCTCCACTTTGCCGAGTACAGACAGTGTTATTTGCCTTCTCTATACTGTTGCCCAGCACCGCACACCATAGAAGCTTGCTGTGAAAGGATGAAGAAATCTTTTCTGGATGGCAACTTGAAACCCACAAAAAATATAAACATTTTTTCAAAGGGAATAGAAGTGTGTTTTTCCTGAACCTAATTTAGTAAAGATGTTATGGTATAGAAAAAATATATGAAAGTCCCAGATCTGCATTAAAAAATAGACCTGACTTCTCAAATATATTTTCCAGCTGCTTCATATTGTTCTGGTCAAAAGAAACAGCTCTAGTCCATTTTACCTGGATGCTTAAACAACTGAAGCATACTAGTAGTACTGTAACATATTGTTTGCTTGAGGCATCAGATTGGTGATTTCCACCCTCAGAAAATAAGAGCAAAGAAAAGGCACATTATTCTTGGCTTGCCAGCCATCCATGTTCATTATCTGCACTGCATCCTGTGCCATAGCCACAGTCAGGTTTAGCAGTTGGGATATAGCCTCTCCTTGCTTCCATGCTGAAAATTCCCCCCCCCCCCCCCTCAAATGTAGCTAAACTAATCTTTGTTCATTTGTGGGATACAACCAGAATTAGACTTTAAAACCATCAACACTTACCATTTAACATTTACTTTTCATTTACTACATAAACATAGCCCTAAACTGAATTGTTTACCTACTCTGATCACACAGGATCGAAACCCTGCGTTTCTCATGACTTTCTGGCTTTCTAATTTTGTTTTTGTCTGAAGCAACCAATCAGTCTCTGGATTGCCAGGAATTGCTCCATGAGCTCCAAAGACTCCAGCACCAGTTTTTCTAGCATATGTTCCTGGTGATAAGTGGCACAAACACACCATTAGATAAAGTAGAGGCAGGGAGATGGAATGATAAATGTTCACTATTTTACTGCATATAAGAACACAGGACAGCAGTATTCCTAGTCAGTGTTTAATTATTTGGGATTAGGGCATATCAGAGCCAATGTAATTTACCATCACCTAATCATTACTAGACAGCCATGACAGCTCTGCTTATCCAGCAGACCCTACAATTTTAGTTCTGATTAGTAAGAAATGACACAGTTTTAATCTTTTCTTTAAAATGGGAATTCCTTCAGGGGTGATGTGACAGTGTTGGCTTTTAGTATGCATATAGCTAATCAGCCCAAATCCCACCACCTCTATATGAATCTGCTTTTGTTTTCCCCCTACCCTCCCTACTTAATTAGATAAAATACTCTCTTTGGTTTTTGCATACGAGACATCTGACATATAATTTTATGCAGGGTTGTTATTTTTAGATTACTGCTTTCCCAAAAACTAATTTTGGGAGATTTACTTCTTGTGAGGAACACCATTTTTTAGTGCTGGGTACTGCAGTTTTCAGAAAATGAGAAATTAAACAGGAGCTGCAAGTTTCATCAGAGAGGTCCTGACTGTCTTGAAAGATTCATAAAAAAGAATTATTAGATTAGTCCCTGGTATCTTGTCAACACTGTCTTTCATCTTGCAATTCTGAGTGATAAATTAATGTAAATTAAGCCTCTTGCTTGGGGACAGGAATCAATCCCTGGCACTCCAGAACCATTAGGCATTTTGAGCAGGTTTCTCCTTTTTCTATTGAACCTGTACTATGGTCTATACAGAAGTTTATTATTTTCTCTTTACTTTTCACCTGACCTGTGCCTTGACTCACTGCAAAAAGATTAAATGCTCTCACACATGAAGCTGTAACCTCCCTGCCAATGCAGTCACTATCTTAACTGCAACCCAGTCTTTCTATCTTGCATCTTTTCAGGTATCAAACAATCTTAAGATCGGTCTTCTAGGCCAGAAAAGAGAAAGAAATAGCGAGAGAATAGTCCAAGGCATGTCCATACAATCTTTTGCAAGCCACCTGCTTTGCCTGTGCCCCAAAGCCATCTACAAGTCCTGCAGACCCAATCAGTGTAGTGATAAAACTAAAAAGAATACAGATTTCTCTGACTTGAAGGAAAAAAAAAAGCTTTAACCCTTTTCTGAAGGGAGTATCTGACTTCCATAAGTAAAAGGAAAGCACAAGCAAATGTCTTCCATCTCCTACTTAATTTTGTGAATCATAAGTAAAAATTATGGACTTTATTAACATTTCAACACCTTATACATGCCTGTAAGTGGAAATAACTCATTTTTATATTTGCGTGTGTTGTCTGAGTTACCACAGAGCCCAGTAAATGTTGTTCTGCTGAAATTATATTCTAAAATGGAACAATTTTTGTTGCCGATGGCATTCTTTCAGCAAATTAATTTTTAATATACAGGCATATAATACTGACAAGCTGCCTTTGTGCACTACAACTTGCAACCTTTGTATCTATAAAGGACACTCAATTTCATAGCCTCAGTCCCTATGGACGAGTTTGTAAACTTACATACTCACTGTACTGACTTTAAAGGAACTCTACTCACAAGTAAGCACTCCATGGGGATCCAGCAATGAAACATCCATCTTTATAAACACAGGAAAGACATTTTTGAAGGGATTAAAGACTTGGGTGGGAAAGGAGTTCACAGGGAGCACACGGGGGAAATTGATTTTTCAAAGGCAGCACCAATCAGGTGCTCAATATTCTTTGAAGATCAAATTGCAAATAAAGGATGCAACAACAATAAAAATTGTCATCTTGGAAAAGATGAGCAGGAATATTTGAAAATAATTCTGTCAAATATCTCAGAAACAGATACGAAATGGACTAAAATTGAATACTACTGCATGGTCATTCATCAATGCCAACTGCAGTTTTCAGGCTACTGATAAACATTTGAATAACTCTCATGATTCTCCTCACTCGCATCTAAATTGAACCCCCACAAAATTTAAATGCAAAAGATTTTCACAAATTATATATAGAAGCGTGAGAGACATTAAAGCTTGCAATTTGCAAATTGTACTATAGTTTCCTCCTTAGTAAAAGCTCTATTTATAAAGCAATGGTTCATTGAGCATTTTAGAAAGAACTCAAGGAACATAATTTTTTTCCTCCTTTCTTGAATATTTCATACTTCTTTTGCCATGCAGTAATTGAGTCTGTAATTTAATTGCTCTCATTTAAGAGCTAATAAAAGATATAAATCATACAGCTTTTGAAAGATATCACAAGCAAGTTTTATGATTGCACACTACAAACAGCAAATCCTCCATCTATTGCTACTGAAATAATATAATTACACCACATCAACCATTTTTATGCTTTTCCTTGCTGCAGGCACCTAGAATAGTAAAATGGAATTTTATTCAGCTGTAGACAGCCTGACAGTCTGCGCCTTGTCCTTTAAAGAAATCAGCCAGAATGAGCAATAAGAAACTTAGCTGCTGCAGTGGAAAATGAAGATCCTTAGAAAAAAGGGAGGCTCTATATTGGCTTAGTGACTTTATCTAAACAAACTCTTACTTAAATGTTACCTACGCTTACTGCTATCACAAACTCAGTGCTGCACCCATTTCTACAACTTACGTTTATTTCACATAAAAGTCAATCTTTAAAAGTGAGACAAATCAATAGGAATCCTCACTGAGTAAGGACATCAGGATTTGATGATGATGAAGACTTGCTTCCAGTACGCTTAAACTCAAGAACTTCTAAGTGCCCCAGAGATACAAAAATACCAAGAGCATAGCCAATGATAACATAGACTCATGAACAAGAACAAAACCCTTTAAATTGCCTAGCACCCTTGTAGCTCTGATTAAAATCAGTTGCAGACTAGAGATATATTGGATTGTCAAAGGCTGGCATGGCATCCCTTGCCAATTTTGAGAATGTCTTACATAAAGTCCATCTCCAGAATTATCTCTCCCCTCAACAAACTTTAGTGTCAAATTAATGCTAATCTATTTCTGTCAGTCATTCTATATGGCATTGCCCCAGCAATTAAAATGTAATGTGTGCAAAGAGAAACTCCAGAGAACTACATATTTTGATAAAACTACCTTTTCAAGCAACTCAGCATTGCAGATGCATTCCTTGTCCCGAAAGCTTTAGTTTATTCGTAACTGCTAGGAGTAATAAGGTAGGACTTAATCAGGAATAATAATTTAGCTCAGCTCTGTTTCTTGATGATATTATTTAGACAAGCTGAACAAACTCCACATAGTTCCCATATTGCTGCTATTTATCTTGGAACACGGCAAGTGAAAGCGAGCATCAGTACAGGACCTTGATGCCTGAAAAGTTGGGAAAAAACATGATTTTCAAAGCAGTGGACTTTTTGTAATTCTTCAAGGAACCTTTTCAAATAACAAACAAACTCTGTTTTGCTGATCTGTGGATAAACCTAATTCTTAAAGTGTGTATGTCGTTGATTAAGGTTTACTTGCCTTTTGAACTTGTAGAGGATGAAAGCTCCAACTGCAACTAGACAGATAACAAAGAGAATCACAATAGCCCAGTAGCCACTGCCTCCTCCAATCCTCTGAGAGTCTGAAATACATAAAAAACAACAGCTTAGCACATCTCTCAGATCACTCACATTCTTGGGCTTTCTTGTCTATTTAATTGTCAGGGCAAAAACATTTGTTGCTATTTGTGTAAGTCCTTTTTACTACATCTGTACCCTCTTCAAGAAGGCAACAACACAAAATTAATTGGTGACTTGTGACTGAAGGACAGAGGACCAATTAAAAACAAACAAAAGCAAAACCAAAGCCAAACCAAAACACAACAAACAACTTTGAAGATTTAATTATTTGCATACACAGTGGGTCTTTTTCTCAGAATCTAAAGTTATCATAGGAAATGATCACATACCCCGAAGTATATGTGTTACCAAAGAAGGACTGTATTAATGTCACAGAAGGAAAAACTAAGGCTCTGAACAATTAATTCATCAAGGTCCCACATTGGTAAAGGCTGAAACAAACATGGGCTTCTTTCAACCCCAGCCTTTTATGCTGTCTAACAAATGTTAGCCCTTTAAACCAGATGACGTACTACAGCAAGACTGTAGCACAATCCACATTAGTGACGAGATAAAAGAGCTTTGTCTTCTAGAGGGAGCTGAGAGATAAAATATCATACCCATATTTACATAAATTGGTTGTGGTAAGCTAAGCTGTTCCCCCACAGCATGCTGAAATAATAAAGAAGAATATATTATGGGAGGTGATACACAAACAAAAATGATGGGACTCCAGATATTATATATATAGATATATTTACATGTATATACACATATTTATGCGTGCATCTATATGTAACAAATATGAAGTAAGTATATATGTATGTAGACATATATATTGATATGAAGATTTTCTCCTTAATTTATTAGAACTCAAACAGGCATCCAAAGGTTGTTCTGTTGGGAGCTTTGTGTATATATTTACCTGAACTGGAGTCAGCTAAAGTCACTAAGACCCAGTATCCTCCCCTCAGAAAGAAACTGATGTTGTGTGCATTCAAGGCCTGCTTTATAGCTGCTATTCTCTGAAAATACAACAGAGAGAATGTCAGACATCTTGCACTATGTTCAAGTCTGAGTTACTCAATGTTCTAAAAAGGAAAACCCCTGGTTCATTAAATGATAAGGAATTCAAAAAGCATTTGTCAACAATGAGCTGAAATCTTACAGAAATTCAGTGTTTAAAAATCATGCCAAACTCTATAAGCCGTAAAAGCTGATTTATAGCTAAATCTATCTTTCTGCTTACACCAAAGCCTTTACCCAGCATTTACCCAGTATGTGACAGACAGCACATCACTTGCACACACTATTTGGTTTACCTGGTCATAAATCACACAATACATAATTCATATTAAAAACTCTCCATTCCTCTAACCTATCAGAAGAAAAGCTGCAATGTCACTTAGATTTCTTGCTGTGAAAAGTAACTGGTATTTGATAATGAACTACATGTCATAATTTTCCTCACTTCCTTACCTATAATGGTGTGGATTACATTTATACCTAATTTCAAACAATAGTCCGTAGAAATATATACATCCACCCATGTGGAAAAAATCAAGATTCTTCCTATTTTTCTCCAGTGGATAGATAGTAAAATATGGTCTCTCACATTTTTATGGAGCAGAACCATTAAATATACTATCATATCCTAACCCCAGATGACAAACTGAATATTCCCTTCTACTTGCTTGTGTCTTCAACATGGGCAATTTTCTAAAAGATCAAAGCTAGTTTTATACTCTATAACTTATAATTTAGGACATGACTTCACACAGGATGCCAAATTAGAAATATGCTTTATATCCATGAAACCTTCATGAGTAACTTCTTTTATGATATCATCAATTATGGTGCTCATCTTTGACAAGCCTTTGCATATAATAGATAGAAATCCCTGTAGTCTCTCTTGTTATGGTCATAGACTACACAAAAGTTCAAATATCCTCACTCATATTCAGGAATAGCTAACTTATGAAACCATTCCACTGACTTTATTACATTTTTTGTGGGAGAATGGCTCAACATAAGGGTGATGGGATCATGAGCTCAGTTATTTTACAAGAAAATTACTCTAGATAGCTCCTAAGCATTTATCTTTTTGCCCAAAGTATGAAAAAAGAATAGATATGATAAGCATATAATAATACAATGATAATAATATATTGATTAGCATCTTTTAAAGTGATGCTGGTACCACTGAAATAGTTACTTGATGTCACTCCAGGTTCACCTTTGTGCTATACTGTGCAAGAGGGCCAACTACATTACGGTAATCTGACTTTGAGACAGTAAATGAAATTACCAAGGTCCATAACTGTGGATACCTCATATTTTCCTTGCAGGTGTTTGAGGAGCCAAATATTTGCTCTGTTTTTTGCTTAAGTGACTAACGTTTGTCCATTATTTCTCTCCCTACCCAAGCATATTCAAACTACACTTCCACAGGCTGAAAATCTGAATCTCATGTGAACCACCAGGTTTATTTGTTTCACTGTTAGATTGATGGTTGTTTCAGTACTTGAGGCATTTATTGAACACAATGCTGCCACCTCTCCAACATTTACAAAAAAAAAATCTACTGTGTGGAGGTCTTCTCTAGACTAAGTTAAGGTTCTTACACCAGCATTTGGATTTTCTATCTTTTTCTTTTCTACATCCTTTACAATTATAGTATTGGAACATGTGAACAAAGTGGCTCCTGCATTGTGGTATAACAATGCAAAAATAATGACAGTATTCAAACTGTTACCTACTTTCTTACGCATGTGGGGCTTGAGTTGCCCTTTTTACCAAAGCAGCTCACTGGGAATTTTCATGTAGTAGTGTATCTAGACAGAGCCCCAAATCTTCCTCAGAGTCACTGCTTTCCAGACTACTGTTTAAATGCATTTTAATTGACTCTTTTAACTAGACTCATCCCACCTGACATTAGACATGTAATAGATGTGCATAAATTAAGCAACTGAGTCTTCCTCCAGAGTCAATGAAGGAATGAAATTGCTGTGCTCTTAAAACCAGGTTAAATCACAGTCAGCTTTTATTTCTACATGCATAAATTTGAAAGAAAAAGGGCTTTTGTCAGAATTATCCAAAGGGCTCCTACTACTGCACTTCCAACTTATGATCTTTGTTATTGCTGGCTACTTTTATCAGTTATGACTCCTGTTCTGGACCACTAATTTAATCACTGGTACCACATCTGTAAAATACCAATAGAAACCACCAAGTATGTGCTCGTTTCCCGACCAAGATCTTCTGAAATCACATAATATCCCAAATCTAAAAGGTTTTTGGTCAAGAACAAATAGGTCTTCTTTTAGGGAAGACATTTTGGAAATATGTCTATATTAAGGATTTCATGGACACCTCCAAATATGCAGAAAACATTCTGCTTGGTAAGTCATCACAATATTGTCACAACACTGACTTTGAGAACTGGCACTACCAGCATGACAAAGCACATTCTTCCAGTTAAACATGATGAAAACCTTCAAGATTCTCTTCTGGGAGAATGTACTGAATCTTTACACAAGGGACACTATGTGTATTTTCCTGTTGACTTCACCAGTTACTGCTTGTAAGTTTATTTACATAGGGTGTATTTTTAGGACATTTCTTGAGTCACAGTAGAGTTACAACATATATTGTATCAAAATTTGTGCCATTCAATTCTAAATCAACAATTTTACATGCACAAATCAATAGCTAAAGTAAGGTAGTGCCCCTTAGGTACAATTTAAAAACAGAAATTTAGGCAGCTGGCTAAAGCAGGACTACTTATTACAGAAACTGTTCCTTGGTAAACTACTGTAATTTCCCCATAGTCCCACTAAAATTAAAGTTTTTCCAAATAATTTGCAACATGTAACTGTTTTTCTTTATGTTTTGGAGTAACTCGCAGGCTATTTCATAAACAAATATGAAAAAAAAAGCCTTAAGGCAGCATATTCTTTAAGCTGCCTTAAAGCACAATGCTAATATAACAGTTGAGATACAAAGGATGCTAACATGCATCACAGTTCATACTGAAATAATACGTTTGAACAACCTAAGAATCTATCACTATCAGCTCCGTCAAATTAATAAAGACATCCATTCCGTATATGTTCGGACAAAAGAATTTCCTTCAGAAACTGCATTCACACTGTATTCTGTGCATTTTAAAGTAAGACACCTGTTCAAGTACTTTGAGAACTTCAACCTACTCCTTTGGACTTTCCAAACCATACTGCATAAATTCCAATTATAATCTACTGGCTTTGTTTCCACATGAAGAGCTTCATCTTAACTACTTCTCCAGCTCTTTAGATATTATGACCTTGTCTGAAGAAGTTGTAAAATGCCCTTCAAATTTAATGATACCTTACATTGTTATTCTTTGTAATTCTTTTTTATTATTTGTATTATTATTATTATTAAATTTTCTGTCATTCTTTGGCATGACTTGAACTGCTAGATACAGGCAAAGGGTTGGGATCTGTTCCTTCTCTATCACAGCAAAAGGACAATTACTACAAATTGTTAGTGCCAAATGTTCTTGTGGAAGAAATATAGTTCCAAAATAATAAGGCAGAAACTAATGTCTTATTTTCATTCCTGTGTTCCCTATATTTATTTCTTGCCAAATGAAAAGGACTTTTGCTCATAAAGACAGAAACTACCTGCTCAATGCTCTTTGCAGGTCAACTATCAAGGTTCTTTTTCTGTTTGACCTGAAATCTAATTTGCTTATGAAAAGAGTGCAGAGATGCTTTGTCCCTCATTAGAAGTGTCAGTGTTCTGAATACACTCTTTGCTCTACCGGATCTTCACAGACTGACATGTCGCTACTGCTTTTCCTGTTTAAAAAACAGATTAGTATTACCTACTCTTGTGAAATACACCAATACCAGTAAGCACTAGATTATGCTGGTCTAGATACTGTCAAATACGGCAGACATAGCAGTTGCTAGCTTTTACACGTAACTTGTCAGGTGGGACTGAGATCTTTACATAGGTAGGGAAAACCTTTTAATTATTACATAAAGACAATGAGAGTATAGTGACTGCAAAAGAGGATGAAGACTGTTCTAGCCAGACATACATTGCTCTAGTTACCTTATCACTAGTTACGCTTCTCTTCCTTTTTGGTTGATTTGCTGGTAGTAGCACATGCAAGTCAGCAGTTGTGGGCAGACCAGGTTTCACAACTGTCATGAGTGTTTCTTCAGGTATATTTGTTTCCTGTAAAGACAAAGGCATATGGCAAATTATAGGACAGTGTGCTTTATATTTTAGAAAAAAATACATGAGTAATTCCACATATGTCTTTTAGTCTTTGGTATTCAGATCCTTAATATTTAGAGGATATTCTACCAGAAGCTAAAACATGAACAAATAGAAACACAAACTAAGTGAAATGTGAGCTGCTCTTTGAAGACTGGAAGAGCTTAGCATTGTTATCGCATTAAAGTGATTTAGTGGCATCATACAAAGAAGCCAAATCAAGTGGTATGCAGTGTTAGCAAAACTGTGCAATGGCTGTGCATTTCTAGGGCAACAGGAAAAAAAAATCCTAACTGATTTAGGACCTCTGTGAGCCATTCAGACACACAGTAGACTTAGAAGGGCATATTCATTACAGCTAACTTTAGCTTAGGGACGCTACTTTTCCATCTGTGTTTAATGGACAGAGAAAAATCTTCCAGGATAACACTAAGAGCACCTAGACTGAGTTTCAGTGAATACTTGCATCCCACACTGAAAGTCAAGTGCATCTCTTTTCAATGTAGTTTGTGCAAATTTTGCTTTTTGCCCCAAAATCCTCCATGTGCCATAGAATACAGCCACACAACTCTCATGACAACACTCTGGGCACTTTCTATAGCCTTTATCAAACAGATTCTGAAATTCCATTAAATCTTTCATATTCTTTTGAAAATGATTCAGTAATTATTAAAATGCAACGGCTATTTATAAGGGAGTAAAATATTTGTTTGACTGACACTGGTTATAGAATGGGATTATGTTGATAAAAGTGGGAAATTAATTTGACATTTGATGTGAACCTTAAAAAAAAAAAAAAAAAAAAGCACAAAATGGCATAAAAGCCAAAATTCCAGAGCCTGATTTGCACTACTGCAAATCCAGGAAATACAAGTGATTTTAAAAGCAAATACTTTAAGAACATTGTCAACCTGCACCTCAGTGCTACTGCCCTCACAAAAGCCTGTGTGGGCATGCCGAGTTGCTGGCAGTGTGTGTTCCTGAACAGTATAGCTCTAGAGCTCATAGTTTTCACTTACTTATCTCTGAGTACTGCTGCATGGCTTTGTACTTGATTTAACCTACAAGATTCAGCTGTTGGCAATCTACATTTCTTTTGTAATCTCAAAAAAAAGCTGCACAAATAGTGTGCCTATATACTATGTGTAATTTTCAAAGTTAAAAACTGGCACTGTAAATTCTTTCATTCTGCTTTGTTTTTACACAAAGGCTATGTCTTTTATATTATGCAGCATCATAGAATCACAGAATCTTAGAATGGTTTGGGTTGGAAGGGACCTTAAAGATCACCTAGTTCCCATCCCCTGCCACAGGCAAGGGACACCTTCCACAAGACCAGGCTGCTCAAAGCCTCATTCAGCCTGCCCTTGCAGGCACACTTGCAGGGACAGGACATCCACAGCTTCTCTGGGCAACCTGTTCCAGAGTCCACTCTCATAGTGATGAATTTCTTCCTAATGTCCCTAAATCTACCTTATTCTAGTTTAAAGCCATTTTCCCTGTCCTACCCCTACATGCCCTTGTAAAGAGTCATCCTCCAGCTTTCCTGTAGGCTCGCATGAGGTACTGGAAGGCTGTACTAGTGTCCTCATGGAGCCTTCTCTTTCTCCTACTTTGCTTAACTTCTAAATACAGGGGAAGTTTAGATTGGATATAAGGAAGAAGTTCTTTACTGTAAGGGTGGTGAGGCACTGGAATGGGCTGCCCAGGGAAGTTGTGAATGCTCCATCCCTGGCAGTGTTCAAGACCAGGTTGGACAGAGCCTTGGGTGGCATGGTTTAGTGGGAGGTGTCCCTGCCCATGGCAGGGGTTTGGAACTAGATGATCTTAAGGTCCTTTCCAACCCTGACTATTCTATGATTCTATGATATCACATTTAAGATATTCTTCCTGTTTTGGAGTCAGCAGTATTTACCAATATGTTTATGTATACACCCTAAGAGCAATATTTAGCATTAATTGCCAATTAGGCTGTGTTAGACCTAGACTGTCTATGTTACAACATCAACATCTACAGCCTGCAAATAAAAGTGACACTGGGCTCAAACTTGTTTGAAATGTGGCTCATGAGGTTCACTTTATTATTCTGCTCTGCATCCTTTTTTTCCAAATGGGAAGGCATTAACTTAACCTTCAAGCTTTACAACTGGTGAGGGAACATTTTATGAGCAATCTGAAAGAGCACCTTTGCAAGAAGTCGTGTTACTACCCGTCCTATGTCTTCCCTCCACTCCGGTATGTCGGGGTTGTACGTGTCCAGGTGCTTAGTAAACTTCAGAGCAAGAACATGAAAATTATCTAGAAAAATACCAAAAAGTAACATTTTTGAACAAATAACAAACCAGGTTGCAAAAACAGCTTTGTAGAAATAAAAGATGAAATATATAATTTGGCATTATTTGCTGTGCAGCGCTATAGTATCTAGGAACCCCACTGCTCTGTGTTTATGTACTCTGGCATGGAGCAAGACTACACTCCAGTCAGGCACTCTATTTCTTTCTGTACTTTGGTCAACATCATCAAATTTGTGCCTAAAGACAAAAAAGCAGGAAGAGTTAAAAACAAAACACCCCTAAGAAATTTACATATGTGATCTGGGGTCAGAACGTTACCAGTATTTTTTCCTTAGGACAATACACTGCAGAAACATGGTTGGTTTCAGTTATTTGTAATGGAAATGTGCCAATGGATCTTATTCTCACTGAATCATAAGCATATGTTTTTTGCCCGTTACATGTTCCTTGTAACATATTCCATGTTACATTTTTTTCATGTAAAATGAATACTTTACATACTCCATAAAATAGCTATGAAAATAAGATTAGAAATGATGTAACAAAGGCCAACGACTGCCATCTTAGAAATAATAAAACCAGTATTTCTCTGGAAATTTTCAAATTTATCTGAGATACTAAAAATGAGCTGTTCCTCAGTGAACAGACTCTAAAATTCTCCATTTCTTCATATAGGTTCCTTGGATGAACACCTGGAGAACTTAATGCAAAGCAGAGAAAGATCCTCTGGAATGCATGAGGCAAACCTGGCCTCCCTAACACTTTCATCAGAATTGTACTTTAATGTGGTTTTCTTTTCCAAAGACTTCTTTGTTTCCCCCATGGCCTTTACTTTCTTGCTCTTACTATCAAGATTGGCCAACATTAAGAGCAGAAGGAGTGTTGGAAAGCCAAAGTCATTGATCTAGTCACACTAAGACTTCTAAAGATTTCTAAAAAAGCAGATGGAATTGTAAGTGGTAGCATAAATGTTAAATCCATTTATCTTAGGAAAGGAGAAGGTTCACAAAAGCTCCATTTAGCAGGAGTCTTTTATCATTATTTTAAATTAATAAGTGTACTAAAAGCAAAAAGAACAGAATCTTCTTCAGACAATAGAGATGTATCGTGTTGTGCATTTTACATCTGAAGGCTTTTAGCTTGCATTAGAAAGAAGCTTTTTCACTTATCACAATTCCCGTATGTGACAGCACAAACACAAATGTAAATAATTTGTTGGCACTGCATTTTTTACAGTATATTATACCTTGTCACCACATTATACGACACAACAAAACACACCAGGGCATAATGTGAAACAAAAGCTTAAGGGTTATTCAGTAATTACAGCAGAGCTATTCTTGATCAAAACTCTCAAACACCAAAGCAACTGTGATAATAAGCAATTATTTCATATTGCTTTCAACGCTGAGAGCATATATAGAACTAAATTTTCTTTTTTTTTCAGAGGTATTTAAACTATCTAAAAACTGAGAAAATTTCTAGGCAGTATGGCTACATATAGCATATAGGAACCACAGTAAGATCTGAAATAAGCAAAGAAAGCAAAACACTTCAGATTAAAGCCTTCCATACAATCACGCTGTTCAACTTCATGGAGTTACCTATTGACAGTTCATCCCTCTAATTTTAAGAATTATACGTGGCATTAGAATTAATTTTACAACAGGTTCAGTTGTGTCAGAGCTGGGTTTCAGGGGTATAAGAAACAAGTACACATGAAACAAACAAAAAAACACCCAACAAAATTAAGAATAAAGTCTCACCAAAAACATGGACAACTTTTGAGTCCTGAAGCATGGAGCTCCCACAGGAAGCTTGCACTGTTACTCTGATGTCACCTGTCTCAGCAAACTTCGTCACCAAAAAACTCTCCAATGTAAGGAGCGGCTTTAAAAATACACAGAAAAGTTTAAAATAGAATTTCAGCAATAACCATGGGAACAGTGTCCTAAGAGAATGTCATTAAAAATGTCACACCGATTATACAATTAATCAACATTTTATTGAATCGTTCAATCACAGTTTTCAATATGGAACGTTTCTTTCCCTAAAGGGATCTTTTAGAAACAGAATAGCTGCTGGATGGAACAAACATTTCATTTAGAAAAATTCATTCAGATCCCACTGTAATTTTGAGGCAGGTTCAACAGTCTTGATAAGATCATAAGTAACAAGTCATTTGCCTCAAAAAATGTAGAGTATGTCAGAGTTAAAAGAATTAATTCTGTCGACTTAGAGCACAAACATGAAAGTGCACCAGTCCACCATAATCTCCAAGGAGGAGCTGAGATGTTCTGTTCCCTGACGACCATCCATATGAATTAAAAAAACCCTTCACATCGATCTGCAGTGGCTGTTCTAGCAATAGCAAAGTCAATATTATGAACAGATACAGATCTGTTATTGAAAGAACTACCTTGAAAGAAATTAACCCAGCCAACCCAGCCAGGCAAGAAATATTCCCAATAGAAATACCTGGATATTTATTGCTCTAAGATATGTTTATCTAGACTTTCTATCCCCAAATGCATATCACTAGATTGTTTGAGTGCTATCACTGTTTTCATATCCTCTTAGATCTTCGTTTATTTTAAACTCCCAGAAAATATTTATCTATACAGTGAATATACAGCACTCATATTATCAACATGAAAATGTACAAATCCAAGTCTCATCATTCACCAATGCTATAATCACAAATGCACCCTCCTCCATAATATTTTTTCCACAGGTAATGAAACAGGATAAATTGTTGTTCCCCAAAAAAAGAAAGTCATTTAGAAATTCAAACTAATTCTAGAAGAGAAAGTGCCATTTCCAGTTAAGTAGCAATAAAGGGAAATGAACATTTTAAATGTATGTGATTAACCAAGTGAAGTTAGATACTGCTTGCCACCAGACATAACTGGCTATTTGGAATGAAAGATGTTCTAAAAGAAGACATGCAACATGGCAGTAGCTTGATTAAAAGTTGTCACTCAACCTTTATTAGAGACTGAAAATCATCTCAGTCAAAACCATTCATGTACCTGCAGATTGTTTCCTATCCACCAGTAGAAGACTGTCAAATTGGGGTTCTTAGGCAGTATGATGGCTGTCAGGTTCACCTCCTGGTTTCTACCAACGACTGGAACCACTTCTAAATTTAAAGCCTGCAGTGGAGCTGAACAAAGTTCCCAAAATATCACTGAACAAGAATCCATCAATTTATTAATGACTCTTTTCCCCAAAGCCTCTCAGCTGCACACCATAAGGTCCTTCCCTCCTGCTTTTACATCTGTATTGAAAGCTACAGGCATAATTGGAAGGATCTCATTTCAACACACCATTCCCACCCTCCTCCCCAACAAACCAACCCACAAAACAACCCCTAAAGCAACGAGACAGATCACCAAAATGTACCTCCCGGATCCACTGGTTTAGACCCCGTTATAAAGTGAGAAAAAGCAATTTCAGCATTTTTTTTTTTTCATTAAGTAATAAATGATCAAATGAACAGAAATCTAATAAACCTGAAACTGCTATGGAAAAAGCAAGAAACTAAAAAGGAATGATGCTGACTGCTCATTTTCATTATAAAATATCAGCTGTTAGGCTTACAGAACACAAAACCTCTCATTAATGCATACTTTAAAATAGATGTGTGCATCAGGGGAACATATTTTTGGAAATCAAAATAGATAACCTTTTTACTCCAAAATGTGCCTTAGAGTGAGCTTATTTCTTTCTGAACTTCTGCCGATGAAGGCTGTAAACATTATTACTTGTATGAAAGAAATGCATCATTACAATCATTTTATCTGCTGCTTAATGATGTATTTTGTTTCATAGTACAATAATTTTATTGAAAGAAAATCTTTCCCTTGGAGGTTTTTCAGTATCTCTTTTTCAGAACATCTGAGGGTAAAAGCTTTATAATAGCATATTGTGGTAACTAAAATTTCTTAACTTCAGCTGCAACACCTATCCAGGATATCAAACAGTTGTATAGTCCAACATGCGTTTATTACACAGAATGAATATTAAGCAATCATTTTTTGTTCCATTCTAAATACCTTTTAACTCACACAAAGTCTTTAATCCCAGTGCAGACTTAAAGGAAATTAACACTGGTCTAAAGTCTTGCTATTGATCTTTCTTTCATGAACTGAACCATTGCCCATTCACTTCTAATTTTTACTAAATGCTTTTGGTAAATTCATCTTAATAAACTGACTGAACGCCTCTGAGAACAAGTTGTCTGAGCTGTGCACACCCTTTTTCCACCTCACTTGAACAGCCTGTGTCCTGCTTCATCCAGATGTTAGTCTCTATGTTCATTCTGCATTTTCTCCAATGACTCTTTAACCACCTGTGTGAACTCAAGGCATGTTTCCTGCTTAAACAAATGATTTCTCCAATAACCTCTTTATGAAAGGGGACTTAAGACGCCCCTCCTATTACTAGAGCTTCAAGGGAAAATTCAGAAATTGTAGGACTTTGTTCCCCCTAGAAATAGATTTTCCTTCTGATGAGGTAAATCAAAGAAGTCTGGAGGGATCTGCATCACTTTTAATTTTGCCATAAATTTACATTTTCCCAGAGGAAACTGATCATTGTGAGACATGGTTTTGCTCCTGAAGATCACTTTCTTTTCCAAAATTTTTAGAAGGAAAGTTGTGTGGTACTTGAACGATGGATGTTATTTCAAGTTTGCCATTCCTATATACTACAGAGTTAAAAATAATTACTGTGAGTTCTTCTGCTTGTCTCAGTCACACAATTCCATAATGCATTTGAACAAGCTTTGTAGCAACCTTAATTGTGTAGAATTAGTAATGAAGTTGTCTACCACGATTTCTGTTTAACAGAGCTACAATTTCAGTGTGATTTTCAAAGCTTCCTGATTATTCACACACTAGAGATTATGGTACCATGAAAAAGAAAATGTAGACCTAAATCTTCTTCATATCTCTTTATTTTGGGTTACCTACTCACATTTATACTATCAGACTTGCTCTCATTTCTTTTACAGTTCATTAAAAAGTTGTAAATTGTGTGATCTGGATGATGTCCTGCATTACAGGGCATTCCCATAGCAATAGAACTTGTCAGAAGTAAAAATATTCCCTATGCCATTTGTCTCTGAAAAAATTCCCTCAGAATATATCAGCTGGGGATAAGAGTGAAAGCAGGACTCCATGGACATTTCTGCTTTCATTATATTCCAAGTGAAAAGTGTCCCTGAATGAATATGAGTTTCTCTAGAATACAGAAATTGCAGTTCAATTTATGCTAGCTGATCTCCTCAAATCTTTCCTAAAAAAATCAAAAAGAGCGAATCACATCAAAAGCATTTATCCAAGCAGGCTGGGTGACATGCTTCCATGAGTCTTCTAGATCATGAGCTGCATCCACAGACAAGCTCAGGAATGGACCACATCTGCTTCAGTGCTCAGATGCCTCTTCATTTCAGCACCAGTCCCCCTAACACATCAGTCACACAAAAATACCTATTGCTTCTGTAATTTGCAAATCCACTGTATAAAACACAATCAGCATCTTTTATTTTTACTGTTTATCCTGATGTAGGCTGCAGCAGAAGCACATTTTGAGAAAGCAGAGTTTCTGCTTTCCACCAGGGCTTACTTGTCATTCTCTGAATGGTGAGCTGCTCTCCTCAGAGTTTTTTGCCATTCATTGCTTGTACAGATCTACTTTGGCGTGCTTAATCTACTTCTAAGTACCTAGAAGCTCCTAAAAAGTATTGGTCCTAAATACTTATCTGGAATTGTAAAATCATTTAAAATACAAACAGAAAAAGAAACAGGCAATTATATTGAGGTGGAAAATTCAATTCTGATCGTTTCTGTTTGACTTTCATAGAGATTGGCTATTAGCATTAAGGAGCTGGTCTCCATCTGCTAATCAAAGCAGAACTGGAAACTCTGAACTTAAGGACTCTGATTAGCAAAATACACAAACAGCAGCAGTCACTAGACAGGCTGACATAAAGCACACAGGTATGTGCACAGCCTTGTATGTGGCTCTAGTGATTTCCACTGCTTTGGGATTAGGATGGAAGACATGCCAATCATAACAGAGGCAAATAAACAACTGCAGAATGCAAGATGAGTATCTTTCCTTTTGATGTTACTTGTTTCCAAATTTTTGATGCATCTGAAAAGAGGCAAAGCAATAGCTGTCTTGAATCTCAAAGACAGAGGAAAATTCAGTTCCAGTTATAACTTTCCCTCTTCATTTCAATTATGAGATCAGTGAGGTACATTAAGCTTGCAATGGTGCATGGTATTCCCTGTGCTGTGCCATTATTTTCTTTTAAATCTGTTTGATGACGTTTTTAAGGACTTAATTAAGAAGAGGGAGAGAAGTCTATGTTAAGCAATACTGCTTGTCAACACAAAGTTATATCCAAGTACCACTTCAAAACTTTGTGAGAATTAACTACCTAAAATCTAGGTTTTCGTACTTTAATGAGTAGCGTGACTTTTAGAAACACTGAGATTTTGGTTATTTTGTTTTTTAAACCATACAAGAACTCATACATTTCTCAACATGTCTGTTCACTTGCTTCACGCTAGAAGCTCCTAAAAAGACATAGCTTGAAGTGTTAAATTTTAGTGGCTAAGACAGCCAACAGGGTCTTGAGTCAGGAAGATGGATCAAACGGAAGATCTGAACTCAGGCATGCTTGCTATTTAAAAGATTAATGCACCAACCTTTTCGCAAGTCCAAACAAAACTAACTCTGACCCCCTAATACATCAGGCTTGCAAGCCTCTGCCATACACAGTACCGCAAGACTGCATTAAGTTATTGAAAAAGAATATGCATTTTTCCTAATTGTGACTAGCGATCTTCTTTACTACTTCATAGTTGTCTTGAGGTTTTTACACTGCAGCAAAAGTAAGAAAACCAAAGAGCTGATTTACAGTTGACTTGGACGAACACCACAGCCTCGTCGTGCCCAGCCACATTCTCAGCCTTCACCGAGACCCGGTAAATCCCAGGATTCTCATAGTGGTGACGGATGGGTTCGCCAGTCATCGTAAGGTTCACATATATTGCCTTAAAGCCGTCTCCAAGATCTACCTGGTATTTGGTATTCAATACATCACCCTAAAAGGAAATATATATAAAAAATATTTTAAATGGCCAGAACCAAAATAGACAGGACACATGATTATAGCCATTTCCTGAACCACAATAGCATTTCTAGCCCCAGCCAGGTATTTTGACTCAATTGCAAGAGTTACAGTAAAACCACTATACCCATAGCAAAGATTTTATTGGTCATGTGTGCATTAATAGAAAAAAACACAAATTTTCACAGTAAGGTGCTACCTTAAAACAAAAAAGACACCCAAAGCCATTAACCAAGTTGTATGACACAGAAACCAGCACTATTGTCTCAATGAAGCTGGACATTAACTAACATAATGATGCAGGCCAGCCCCAGGATCTGGAGTGATGAACATTTGATTGCAAAGAGCTAAATATAGTTATTTTAGTGAATAACCACTCATCCAGTGAACTTTTAGACTACGTAATTATAAAATAAAATTAATTAGTTTAGACATTCTTCACAGCACCTTCTAAGTAGACCATTGGTGTCTCAACCACATGGCCTTCAAGAGCCATACTAGGATCTTTGTGCAGAGTTGTATCACACTGTACAGAGCTACCTGCATGTTTAGCATGCCATATGCATGCTTAATGAAACAGATTATTGAGCTGGGTTTGGGAAAGGGTTTAAAAGTCCAGCCAACTAATTCCGTCGTGTCAAACATCTCACAGAATTTATTTCATTGCACTTCTGCTAAGTGCCCCTTTAAATCACACTTCCTAAACTCAGGCCTAAAATAGTCCAAGACTGATACTACTGTCAGAGGACAAACATATGGCCATCACTCATGTCATGGTGTGGCTGCTCAGGAGAGAAGTCAGGCTTTTGCTATGTCGACTGGTGATGTGGATGGAGTCAAACGAAAATTCATTTCAACTGCTAGCAGCAACACTTTCTCAACACTCCTGGGAGCACTGCCTTAGCGAGCTGCTCTGCATCCTCAGTAGTCTTCAGCGATATGTTACTCCCTGCTTGCCACAACACACAGCCATCACAGTCATACAATTAAAACAGGCTGCAAGTCCAGGCTGGGTAAAAAATACTTTGTATTGTGAAAACAGTGCTGGTTTAAAATCCTCCATTGCCCCTAGGAAAGGGATATATACATCCATATACTAATCAGGCGACCCGAATGGCCATCAGAGCAGAGGGCTGACACCCGTCAAAGTATTCAAAAATCACTTCCCTGTAAGCCACTCCCTGAAACAGGTTTATATCAAAACGTGATCCCAAAAGTCAGCATTAATGTAAAATCAAAGGAGGCAACAAAGCCTAGAATTTACGTACCCCAGAATTATAAAGGGAAGGAAAACATACTATTATTTCCTCTATTACTTTGCAGTTCGGTTGATTTTCTTCTATATTTTATCAGATGAAAGAGCACTGCTTACAATGTAAAAGAATACCCATAATAAGGAACCTATAAGGTTATCAAATACCTGAACACCGTATGTCAACACACATAAGGAACTTAAAAGCTTCTTCACTGTATTTTTTTCCAAATAACATCTTTCTTTTGACAAGAGATGACTAGAATTTAGCAGAGGAGATAATGTTATTAAAGTTTAACACAAAAGAGATGTCTTCTTGCCAGCAATGTGCCAGTAAGTGGAATCTCTTTACGTGATACTGGTTTGCAAACACTTCTTGTTCCCTCTTTCTTATGCTAACAAGTACACATGCATATTTTTTCCAGGTGAGACAGAAACCAGTGTTGAAAGCCAATGGATGCAAGTTTCTCTTGGTGTTTTATTCTAACAGCTTCCCTAGTGTTGAGATGAGAGTGCTGTCTTCAAAATGCCAAGGCACTTTCTGTTTCCCTGACCAGAAAAGACAGCGAGCAGTGGACAGGTAATAAAAAAGTCACCGAGGGAAAACACAGCTAAATTTAAAAGAACTGGGGCTTCCTCTTCCATGCAAAATAGATAATTGCAATGACATTATTTATACATTCAGCAAAAAGAATTTAGGAAAAATAATTATAACTATATATTATTATTTATAAGGTCACTTGTAAACTGACAAAACATACCAAAGCCTGTTTTCTTTACTTCCTGATGTCTTGCGCCTAGTAACATGCATTCACATAAACAAGTAAATTAATTTTGTTCAGCAGAGAAAGTGGTATGTTTTGGTTTATCCTAGTAGAGCTGTTTCTTAAACTCAGTAAATGTTACGAATTCTCTTTAGACATTGTTGTATAGATTAAGTCCTAAAAACCGCTTCAGGACATTTGAGTATAAATATTATTCGTAGCCATAGGGGGCAGCAAACTGCTAGATTTCTTCTAAATATGCCTTCCACTTCTACGTACTGAGCAAAGACTTCATCAGAAAACACAGCACGGGATTCTCTTCCAGATCCCTCACTTCTGAAGATTTTTGAATAGTTTTAAATGCTTGCAGTATTGCCACAGAGATTCCTGAAAGCTTCAGTAGGAAAAAAAGTCAAACTGCCAGTCAAAATCATTAGGAGTCCAAATTGCAACCAAATGCTCTATCCTTACAATAAACATTTCCAAACAAATCCTAAAAAGAGAAGGCAGCATAACTTGCCACACAAACTGCTGGGGCACTGCAAGCACTGGGACAGAGAGCCTGTGAAGTGTTAAGCAGCCCGGTGTTCTGCACATAACCTTCTTGATTCCATTACAGAAATTAATCCCAAGTGCCCGATTTATATTGCACAGGTTTGCCAAAACGTGTGAACTTTGTTCAAGTTCTTGTAAATCAGTGGGGTTAGCCAGGAAGTACAACACTGTGGTAACCTGAGCACAGCAGTTATAGCCTAATGGTAAAAAACAAGCGCTAGGAAATACACCCACAGCAAACAGTTCGTCCAAAAGTTACTCAGTGCTGTTGGTCAGGGCCTTAGGGCATTGTTTCTCTCAATAAACAGAAAAAATCCCCATATCTCTGGGAACACAACTAATACATAATAAACGTCCTTCTGTTGTGCTCTTTGCTGATTTCTGTAAATTTTTGCCTCATTCTTTTCTGAAAAGCAGATTCTCAAAAACACTTAAATCAAAATATTAAATGTTGTCTGCATTTCTGTTCTTCTCTGATAGAGCAGTTGAAATTTTCAGTCTAAGGAGACTTTGGTAATTTAGTTCCTTTGATTTTGCAAGAAGTTGTTGCCTTTAAGGAATAATTACTGACTCCGCTGCTGAGGAGACAAATCCCATTCTGTGGACAGAATGTGGTGGTTTACTGAGCTTACTGCATTGTCTGATTTACTTGAAAACAGAAGTTTCAATATTCAGAAAGTTATTCATCTTTGTCTCAAGCACAAATTACTATTTATTCAGCAGCAAAGCAGGGAGGAAAAATAGTGATGAAACTTTCATAAAGCCAATGTTCATTCCTACCTGCTCTTGTCTGACAATGAAGGTGATATCTTCCCCAGGCTTAATGGCCAGGCTTTCTTCCCTGATGCTGATCTGAAGTCCTTTGGGAGCAATCAGCGGACACATATGCTGTGCTAAGTTCTGCTGAAGGTCTACGCCACCTTCACACACGTTAGAAATAACTTTCCTGTACCTACAAAAACAGTACACAGTGGGCACAGTGAATGAGAGGTGAAGGAGAATACCATCAGAGGCACTGAATATGAGTGTGATGGCAGCTAATGAATATTCCTTGGGTTCACAAACAGACAAGATTACAGATGACCTAAACGAATTCATGATACAAATACTTTGATAGGGGATATTGCCTTTACTGAGTGAAACCTGTTGAAGAAAGATGGTGTGGAGCACAATAATGATTTCACTTGTATGCATTGGAAGAGTCTGCCTTTTCGAACTTAGAAAAATGACAGAGCAGCCCTCCAGGAGCTAGAACATCTGCTGCCCTCTCTGCCATACCCTTTCCTAGCGTTCAGCAGTCCTCAATGCTATGGAGGTCTTGGTTCAGCCCCCAAAGAATAGGAAGAAATTAGACTAAGTAGCTTCTGCATTAACTCAGAGTCAATTGTTTAACTGCTGCTCTCAAATCTATGCATTTCTTAAAATGCTTAAAGCATTTATTTAACATAGCAGTATAAACGAGTGAAAAACCTAACACTTATAAAGAAATAATAATGGAATATCAGATGTGTACCTTAATTATTTACAGATCATTTTCACTCAGGTATGTTATTCTTAAACATCCTTTAAAATTGGAGTCAGATTTCACTCTTTTGAATTCCTATTCTGTATACCACAGCTGTCAGCCGCAACCCAAAAGGCATCATTTTCCTTGGTAAGGCAAATATACACAGAGACTGTGATTCTATTGCCAGATTTGACATTTCATCATTTGGTCCTCATCTCCACAACCAACAGAGATGATGTTATGATAAGCCAGAATAGATGCCAGCTGCAAGTTATTCTCAGCACAGACGTCAGACTACATTGTACTGTACATTCTATGCTGTATTGTTTACAGTTACTGAAGCTTTCCTTTGATTCTGAGTGGCCCATATGGTCAGGAAAAGAATCTATTCTCCACAGAAGTCCTTACCCCTATAGAAGCAATGTGGGAAGTTCTGTGAGATGATACTGGCTCCTTAGAGTTATTAATTGAATTCAAACTGAAAATTGGTTTGAACCCAAGCAAAGGGCTAAAAGAAAAGGCTCTGAATGGACATTCCTAACCATGGTCACAACACATCACAAAAAATTATAGGAAAAAATAATAAGACAGCTCCCCCTCTTCTTGAATGGATTATTTTTTGAACTGCTGTGAACATGTAAAGTAGTATTTCCAGTTCATTAATTTGCAGGCACCTTCTGCACGTGTTCTAAATCAGAGTCAGAACTTCCACATTTCCGAGTTTTTCCAGTTTGCTTTATTTACGTTTCCTTCAAACTACTTTTGTGGCCCTTGGTCGGAACGTTCTCCTCCTCTCTGGAAGGCTCTGCAAGCCGGTAAAACGCAAAATCAGCTTACCCAGTGCTGCTGGTGTATGCCTGCCCCAGCACACAGTCTTCAGGAGGTGCTTCTGGGTTAAACCAAAAGTCAGCAAAACATTTGCTGGACTCTGACTTCAGAGGTGCAGAGCGCTCAAACCCATAATCACTGAAAAACATCAACACCAAGAGTGTTACTTCAATGCTGCTTCATTCAACAGTCTCACTTGGCGTGGATGAGACTACTTTTTTAAGAGTAAAACCATTTTTTTGGTATTATTCTACCAGCAGAACATGCAAGTTGGTGAAGCCAGTTCTGTCCTAAGTCTAATGTCAACAGGACTTGAGTACACTTTGAGAAAAAATGGTTGCAATTACTTTGTCGGTTCTGCAAAATTAACACTTTTGGTAGCTTAGATTTTTAACAGGTTTTCTTTGCCACTCAGACCAAAAATGTATTTATTCTGGGTTGGGTTTTGGGTTGTTGTTTTTTTTTTTTCTTTATTTGCAAATAGAAAGGGTTTGCTTGCCTTACAAATCAATCTAATAGTCATTTTTCAAGTCTTGATCAATAGAGAAAAACATCAGGATTTGTTCAGTCAGGTAAAACAAATACTTAAAACATGGTGGTGTTTTTAAAACAAAGGCAAATGCAAAAGCAACATGTTATTCAAAGAACAGACTGCCTATTTGTTTATACATGGGTGTGTGGGGAGAGAGGCAAAAGGAAGAAAATAAATCCATCTCAAACTCTAAGTAACTATTTGCTAGCAATAAATCAAAAGGTCCACAGACAGACTTACCATAGGAAATCAGAGTTCACACATTCACAGACTTTGGATGTGAGAGCTGATGTGAAACTTCTCCCTTTAATGCACCATGATGTAATCTTCCTCTTTCGAAAGCTCCTCTGTTGGCCCATGATGCAACGATCACCCTGAACATCAAAGCACCGGACTTATTGCACGCCGTGACCTACATCACACAGACGTGACCTTATACTGTTCTGAGAAAGTCTGGTCTTGCTACCAAGACTATAAACTTGTATAAACTCTCTCATATTCAAATGTACAGGTATAGAAAGCTCTCTTATCCATGGCTGTACAGTAACGGGCCATTACACAGTCATAAAATACATTATATTTCAGGGCAAAATCCAAAGATGTTCCTGAAAATTCAAGTTCAGTTCAACACCGTGTTTCACGTGTGCACAACCTAGGCACAAGTCTACAAGTGGCCATTTAAAAATACAGCGTAGATGCAGATGGCTGAATCACTATGTCTTGTGTGGGCAGTCAACAAGCACTAACCATGCAGACATAGGTAGAATGAAGACTATCTGCACACACTCCACTGGTAACCAGGCAGCTGCAAGTACTCTGTCAAAGTCATTTTAGTAGTTTCTAATTTCTGAAGGACAATTCAATGCCAGTACCCCAAGATACTGGCATGAGAACTAGCAAATGAAAGCTGGAGAAGCACAGTCATAAGCCAAAAAAACCCAACCCTGCAGAGAGATTGAGAACAAATGTACTGGAAGAAACAAAACATAATCAGAATTATGATTAATATATTATGAATTATATGACATATTTCATTTAATGAAAAAAGAAAGGAAAAAAAAAAGGGCAAAAACCAAACAAAAAAAACACCAAACCCCATTTAGTCAATACATCATATAGAGAATGTGGCTTCCCAAAATTGCATTTGGCCAGAACACCAGGATTAGCACAGCCTTAATGCATTACTGCAGAAATGGTATTGCCCAAAACAACTGGACTCCATTACCTGATTGGTCCACTGATAATTTAAATTACTTCTGGAATGGACTTTACTCATGGCAATTTATGTATGAGTACAGTATGTGGTACGAAAGTTGGCAGAACACACAAATGCATGTTGAAATTGTTTCAATCAATATTACACGCTTTAGTTTACGGTATATGCTTCTCAACCCAGCAGGACCACCTATTATTATGGCAAACCACCAGATACACTTCTGTCTTTCCCAGGACACAGATCACACAAGTGAAGGGAACATAAAATCCTCTCACATTTTAAACTCTTGTAAAATCAGAAAATACCAACATATGGAGATCAAAGCTGGGGATGTAGCATCCAAATGCTATTTATTTGAAAACATACAGGTCTACATGAATACAAAAGCTATGGAAAAGTTGTGGCAGTTAACATAAGGCTGTGAATACCTGTAGATTTGTGAGCTCCCAAGACTCATAATCATCATCAGTGCACTCCCTGGGGAAGGATGGTCTGAAGTCCACCTTTACCAGCTCCCAGTCTGAACGGTAGCTTATATGTCCAAAGACCCTGAACAGAAAGATCGAAAGTAAAAATCTTACTGCAAATAAATACCATACACCTGAGATTCAAATTTTCAGTTCTATCTTTTCCTTTCTACAGTCATGGCTCCCTACTAAAAGTCCCTCGCATTTTTTCTTCCGCTTTCATTCCTCTTCATGTAAAAAGTCTTAGTTAGCAAACACTTACTAATTGTCCACAAAACTTTACAATGAAAAAAAAAACATAGCTCATAGATTTTTTTTATATTTTTTTTTTTCCCCAGCAAAATTATCCAGTAATTTAGTTGGAAAAAACACTACCATTTCTAATTTGGAGCCCAACATTTTTGTCTATTATATTGTAATATGGAATATACAGAATGCTCAGGTTTTGACAGGGAGATCAGATCAGGAAGCAGAATTAAGCATCACTGGATTCAGTTTTCAGCTCTGTCACTCATTCTGTGTGACTATAGTGCAACTTCTTCAGTTATTTGTTTGTTTTTTTGTTTGTGGAGGTTTTGTTTTGCTTTTAGCTTCTACAGATTTCAGATGGCAATCTGCTATTGTTTAAACTCACAGCAGTATCATGAAATTGTATTAATTTCTAAGGAATACACTGCATTTACACATTGTTCTGAGGAACTCTTGAGTCTCCTCCTCATTTCAGCTAGTCCTATGTATCAAAAAACAAACTGTAAATTTCTTTGAGGGAAGGAGGGGAAAAAAGAAAGGAAATCTCATTGCTTTGAAAACCAAACTGCAGTTTCAAAGCAGCCAAAATTTTCAAAGTCAGAACATTCATTTCCAAAACAGAACAGTTAAGTATGACATCCAGCAACAAATTAGAAAGGATAAAGACTCTATTTGGGCAAAAGTCAAATGTATTTGTGGTTTGTATCAGGCTTATGTGATATGATTTACTTGCCAAAGAATTTAAGCTTGATTCTGAAGCCAACAATTTCTGTGCAGTTCATACTGCACAGAGTTCATGTTTCAAGATTTAGTAGCATTCTCTAAACTAATTCATTCCTTTTGTTTTGCCCTCAGTTTTGTCCAAATCCAGACAAAGCAGGAATGGTACAGTTTTGCTAAAAGCATTCTGCTGTGCACAGTCTTTTCTCTTGTCCTGAATACCAGGTTCAAAGTGGAACTAGGGTACATCAGAACTTAGGAAATAGTGGATTCTCTGCAGCACAGAGGCAATGTCATCATACTGAGCATCCTTCCTGGTAGATGGGTGTAGAGCTCTGAAGTCTACCAAACAGGGTGAAAAATAGTTGTAGAGACTAAAGATGTACAGTAATTTTCCATTTTATTTCTCCTGTCTTTGCTTCTCAGTTACAGCACAGAGATGTAAATATCTACAGATTATCGCCCACACTGCTCACATTATAGTGACTGAACAATCCATGCTCACAGGAAACTTCACCATCAGAAGCACGCTTAACTAAACAGAAACCTGCATTTAGTTTGCATGTCTTCCTCTTTTCTTGTAAGGCTCTGAGATTAAAGGACTTGAAGCATCTACTTTCCTTCTAAATGTACCCATGCCTTAGAAGTAGAAACAATACACAAAAATTAAACAATGTGGCTATATGTGCACATAGGTGTGTGGTCCCATTCTCTCACTGAGACCTACAGGTTTGGTTCCCTTTTTCTGGTTCAGCTGGATCCTGAAAGCTGTTGTCACCATGTAATCTTAATCACTTGTAGTTACATATTCAGTAAAGTGACTACTTAGGTGGTCTCATGTTTTCTCCACAATGCCTGCTTCAATATGACTGGCTTTGCTGACAGGCATGAAGTATCTTTTGTATGCTAAATACCTGAATTTTTTTCTTTTACAGTATCTTTTCTTCCATACAAGGTATTAAAATAAGGCAGACTCCATTATGTGCTTATACAGCTAGCCACCTTAAAAATCATTCTTTAGACACCACAAATCTTTACAAACCGGTTGCATTTCTTTTATTAACTCATTTATCAACAAACACATTCAAGTTCAAGGAGCCAAGTCCTGTCAAATCTTCACTCCTGCCTCAAAAAAGGTATTTTTTTATGAATAAATGACATTTTCTTCATTTGTGTTAGTTATTTCTGGCAGATTAGGCAGAAAAGGAGAGGAAAGGAGATGGATGCTTAAGTTCAATACAGAACAGAATAATCACTGAACTATTGATAATTATCTTTGAGACCTTACAGAGGGTGATCCCAGATGAGTATAGAAAGGGAAACATTTCACATATATATATATGTATATATAGATGCATGCATGCACACACATATATATGGAGGGAGCAGAAACACATATATGTGTGCGTGTATATAATCATACATACAAAGCAGCAAAACAGAGCCCAGGGAGTTAAAGAATTAATTTTGGTATCCACAAAGATACCAAACAAATTCTTAAGCTACCCACTTAAAAGCACCTTGGAGATAATTAAAATGATAACAGCCACCATGGATTTGCCAAAACCAAATCATGTCAAACTAATGTAATTTACTTCTTTTACAGGGTAACTGGCTTAGCTGATAGAGAAAATGTAGCATATTTTGACCTTTGTTAAAACTGTAATACAGTTCTAGCTGACATTGTCACAAGATAAAAAAGAAAGCATCAGTGCAGATAAAATTGTAATGAGGAATAGAAGTACATACGCAATTAGAAGAATCCATTTTCAAAAGGAGTCATCAAACACAGAAATATTTTGAGTAAGTATCACACAGATATGATGGGTCCATAAGCCAATATTTTTATTAACACCCATGTGGTCAAATAACACCTAAAATTTGGGAGATATATATGCATGTTATATGCATATTTACACACCCACTAAAAATTAATTTGAAGAGGGGCAAGGATGACTCGTAAGCTGCTTAGAGAATATAACTAATGAAGAAAGTTTGAAAGAAGTGCATTTTTCTCTGGAAAAGATAAAGATGAGAAGTACAATAAAATGTCTTCATATGGTCTTGTAGGTTGAAGAGTTGTCTTCAAAGAGACCTTGAAGAAGGACAAAACCCAGGAAGGACAAAAATCAATAAACTTAAAAAGTTACAGCTGCACAATTCTCTAATTCCTTCTCCTCAGCACTGGTGAGGTCACACTTCAGTGCTGTGTCCAGGTCTGGGCTCCTCAGTACGAGAGACATGGACAAACGGGAAGGAGTCCAACGAAATGAGCCATGAAGGTGGTGAAGGGGCTGAAGCACCTCTGCTATGATGAAAAGCTGAGAGAGATGGGGCTGAGAGGCAACAGGAACAAACTGAAACATGGGAGGTTACCTCTGAACATCAGGAAAACACGTTTTTACTGTGAGAGTGACAGCATTGGCACAGGCTGCCCAGAGAGGCTGTGGAGTCTCCAACCTTGGAGATACTCAAAAGCCACCTGGAAAAGGTCCTGGGTGGCTGGCTCTTGGTGGCTCTGCTTGAGCGGGGGGGGGGGGTTAGAAAAGATCATAGAACCACAGAATCAACTAGGTTGGAAAAGATGTTTAAGATCATCAAATTCAACTGTCACCCCAGGACTGCCAAGTCCACCACTAAGCCATGTCAGCCTCGGACTACCCTTTCAGAGAAGAAATTTTTCCTAATATCCAATCTAAACCTCCCCTGGTGCAGTTTGAGGCTGTTTCCTCTTGTCCTATCACTTGTTACCTGGGAGATCGGCCACCTCCTTGCTCCATCCTCCTTTCAGTTAGCTGTAGAGAGCGATATGGTCCTGCTTGTCTTCTCTTCTCCACACTAAATAACCTCAGTTCCAGCAACTCAGTATCTCTTTTGTAGTGAGGGCCCCCACACTGAACACAGTATCTGAGATGTGGCCTCACCAGTGCCAAGTACAGGGGGATTATTACTTCCCTAGTCCTGCTGGCTGCAGTAACAACCTCCAGAGAACCCTTCTAACCTCAACCATTTTGTGATTCTGTGATGGTAATGATACAAGATATTGAGGTTGTTTATTCTCCCTCACTAGAGCAAGAAATTAGTGAAACAACAGGAGTAGAGCCAGATTTTTGAGATTAGATTGCCCAGTCCCACATCCTATATAAAGTTACAAAATGGATATAAATTACTCTAGAGATTATGCAAATTCTCCTAAAGTAATACAGAAGCTACATAGAAACTATATGTGTACACAGCAAAAGCACTACTTCAGCGGGTGAACTATAAGTCTCTCCTCTGTAGATTTTTAGTGAGACAGAATAACTTTTCTCCTTCTTGGTCCAGCCTCTTTCAAAAAAAAATTAATTACTCATTTCCATTATGGCTGTTCTGAGTTTACAGACTGAAAACCATGTTCTGACAGAGCACAATAACTGCACTACTGATTCCATCATTCTTTGCCTTAAAGTAACAATCCTGAGATTCAAGGAAGCGTACCAGCACAGCCACAAACCCCATGAAAAATGCAGTCATACAGATTTGTAATTCCTGGGGTAAATTTTGTAAGGAATCCAGCTTAGCAAACTGTTTGACAAAAAAGACTTAATGATTATTAATGCTGTTGCTGCAGTAACACAAAAGGGTTTTGCACATGCACCAGAAAGGCCCATTTAAATGCATTGCCAAAATTTATTAGAACAAAAAAGAAGCATTTTTCCAAAGTAAAAAATATATGCATGTATTAAGTAGGATTCAATGGATTAGACAAAAATATGAGCTGCAATAAAGCAATACATAACAGCAATCACAATCTAATTGCTCAGGTGCAAAATATATATGTCCAATAAAATCATATGAGTGGAAAAAACTGGAACAGTGCAGCAAGTGTAACTGATGATTAGAAGTTAAATATCAAGATGATAGTAATTCATAAGCTACTAAAACCCTCCTCTGATTAATTATATTTCATTAGAAAGCCATCAAATAAATTCTGTTGAAACTATGAAAGATGACACTGTGATAAATAATTTTTGAAAGAAATTCCAATTACCTTGGAAATTGATTTAGTTTTATTTGCAAGAATTTGTGATCCATAATTTTAACTTCAGTGTTTCAGTTGCCAAACCAACTTTG